CTCTCTCTCTCTGGCCTGCTGCTCGCTCGCTCGTCGGCCCACCCTCCGTCTTTCTTCCAGCGCCCCACCCTTCTTCATCACCGCCATCGACACCGCCATCGACACCGCCATCGACACCGCCATCGACACCGCCATCGACACCGCCATCGACACCACCACCACTCCCTCGCTCACGACCTCGCCCTCGTCGCCATTCGCCATTCGCCCTTCCCAGCACACTCCATCCCCGCACACACCACCCGTCCTCGCCACGACGCCGCAACGCCGCATTCGCATTCATCTTCCCTTCACCCGACCACTCGGTCCCTCGCCTGACCTCCCTCTCTCGTCATCCTGGTCGCTCGCAGCGCATCCTCCATCCCTGTGGACTGGCCACCTGTAGTGCATCCTCCATCCCGTTGTACCGGTCCACGGCAGCGCATCGTCCATCCCTGTGTACCGGCCAACTCTGGCGCATCCTCCATTCCTGTGCACCGGCCGCCTGCAGCGCATCCTCCATCGCCCATACTGGCAACCCTCACCATGCTCCACACACAACCCTTCGCCCCACCCTCTGGTCCCGCCGCAATGGCCCCGCACGTCACCAACCCCCTCGCACGCACCCGCAACCGCTCCTCCTCCTCCACCTCCTCCTCCAACTCGTCCTCCGACGACGACGGCTGCACCTCGGACCAGAGCGACGACATCCCTCCAGAGACCGGATTCGACCCCTTCCTCGCAGCAACACGCAGAGCCCGCATCAACTCGTCGGCGTCGTCGACCACGCAGCCCCTCGCAGCAGCCAGCTCGCGGCCCTCGCCAATCTCGTCCCCCGCAACATCCAACGACACAATCCGATCCGCCAACTCGCAACCAAAACACCAAGGCCATGTCGGCGACCACGACGACGACAACGCCGCCGACCCAGAAGCCCACCGCTGGACCCAGATCGACGCCTTCTGGTCCAAGGTCGTCGACGACACCATGTTCCGCCCAAAGCAGGGCCCCATCGACCTCTCCTCAAAGGGCATCACCGTCATCCTCCCCAAGATTGCAGACCTCTCGCGCTTCGTCGCACTGCCCCCTCCCCGCTACGAGAGCGACCCGCCCCAACCCGACCCGCACGCCCTCTCGGACATCGCCCACTCCAAGTCCGGCGGCCTCGTCCGCCACGAGTCCTACCTCGCCCCCTTTAGCTCCCACCACCACAACGACTCGTCCACCCTCGGACAGCGCGCATTCGCCCGCAGCAAGTCGGCCTTCCAGCCGGGCATGCGCACCTCGCACTCGTTTTCGCGCACAACCAGCGCAATGAGCGCCCTCAGCTCCCGCTCCGGCGGCTCAAACGCAGCCGCATCCAACTCGCCCGCACGCTTCCGCGACCCGCGCGACCGCCAGGCCACCCTCAACCTCTTTCTCGCCCAGAACCGCCTCACCACGCTCCCCAGCGCCATCTTCCAGCTCGCCAACCTCCGCGTCCTCTCGCTCCGCTTCAACCAGCTCGAGCGCCTGCCCCCCGCCATCGGCGAGCTCCACAACCTCACCGAGCTCAACATCGCCAACAACCAGCTCCGCTTCCTCCCGGCAGAGATCCTTCGCCTCCGCCTCGAGGTCTTCAACTGGTTCCCCAACCCCTTTCTCAAGCCGCCCAGGGACGGCCGCCTCACCGTGAGGCCCCTCCTCAGCATTAGGGCAAAGCACGCCCGCCACGCCCAGCTGCACCGCCTCGGCAGGCTCGACGAGACGCCCGTCAGGGACCAGGGCGAGACCCCGCCCAACGGCGGCGCCGCCGCAGCCGTCGCCGCAGCTGCTGCCCAGCCGCTGCCCATCATCCGCATCGGCCAGAGCGCTGCCGG